ACTACTGTCAGGATATAGTGTAAGCTTCAGCAAATATGACAAAAAGTAATCTACTGCAGCTTTAATGTACATAAACAGGTTAATCAAATGTTAAATATAACCATAATTATATCATTGTGATGTCTTCAGGGTGACTGTAATTTGGGCTTGGAGACAAGAGGTTTTTAAGACATCAATAGATTTAATTGTCCCCAAAGGAGAAACTTTATGGAAGCACTACATCATTGGAATACTTCTTTAAGTTTTAATCTCAAGATATCAGATCTTAAGTATGAATGGACAATAGACAGAAGATCGACTGCTGTAATATTCTTTCATCAATTCATTCTATAATGGCTTAAAGTTTAAAATTAGTTAAAAGATTAGTTTTATGTTGCATGTTGAATCTGCCTTTGTTCTAATAAATACAAAATGTGCACACTATTAGTGAAGTGAATATATATTCAACATACCAACAGGGACCACCGTCTTTGCCTTCCCATGCTTGTCTTTTTTATTTCTCTGACTATACTGACTTTAGTGTTCTTTGTATTGGAAGAATAAATGACCAATAACACCATGATGATCCATATCACAATCACAACATACTGTACTGTGGGTGCAGCAGCGCTAACACTGGTGCTGATGTTCATGTCATGCCAGAAGTAAAGGGACAGGATGGCAACCTGTTGTTTATGTGTAAAACGTGTTGGGACATTAATATATATTTTTATCCTTATTATTTCAGGGTTCCCACACTTTTTAAGAAATAATTTTCCAGGATTTTTTTTGACAATATAGGACAGCCTTCATATAATTTCCCGGCAAGCCTAGTATTGACACATTTAACTCCAGTTTTAGTGTTTGTAGGACACTTCCTGCTCGCTTCCAGGTGCCGATTTTTCCGCTGCAGTTTCTGCAAATTGGTAACACTTTCCAGCAGTTTTCCTCTAACTGTAACACTAATTTTTCCACAGCCCATATGAAACAGGTCAAGTAGAATTTATTTATTTTATTTATATTTTTTAAATGTATCTTCTCACCTATGAGCCTATGAGTCTTGGGTGCTAAGGTATTACTAATAATGATATTACAGTAATAATATTACTTTCCCCAGTAACTAATTACTAATAAATTACAGTGATACTGTTACAGTTACCCTTATTTTTTTTGTAGTTACTGATTGTAACTAGTTACAACCTTACTTTTGTTGTCACCCCACTGCTGATTTAAAATCCAACAATCTGATCACATCCATAGATTCATTTTTGTAATCGTGCACATCAGGAAGCAAGAAATTAGCTCGGTAGATGGAAATGCTTACATTCAGCTGTTGGAAGTATTCCCATTATATTCCCATTTAACAAACAAAACTGGATTTTGGGTCTGAATTTTTGGGAGAAAGGACACAATTACCAATTCTGTGGGGTGAAGCAGAAATAAATAAAACAAATTACTGTTGGCAGGGAGTAATGGGTAAAGTAATAATATTACTTTTGAAAAGAGTAACGAGTAATGACTAATTAATAAAAATTTTGGAGTAACAAGACCAACACTGTAGCCTACTAAAATAAGAAGTAGAGAGTCAGTGTCCATTGCATGTACAATTAAAAACAACAATAGTACATTTCATTAACAGGCTGAATGCACATAGATATAACATAGATGTAGATACAGAGTTGATGGCGAAAAGATCGCTGTAGGTCAGTTCTGCTTCACGTCTGCTACCCCCACTCTGAAGTGTCGTCCTACCAACAGTCGAGTTCCAAACATAAAATGCACCCAGGTTTACAGAGGCGATCTGAATCAGGGCCTAAAATACAATAAAAAATTTCCAGGACAACACTGATTATTTCCAGGATATTTGGTCATTTTAATCAATTTCCAGGTGTTTCCATGACTGGAAAACTAGTCTCTAAATTTCCAGGTTTTCCAGGACGTGTGGGAACCCTGTGTTTGCATCATCTTAAACTGCTGCCATCCGCTGATCTGTTGTCCCTTTGTCCCCTGAGTTGATACATGAGCCATCGAGCTAAATGGGAGATAACTGAGTCCTAATTACAACGAGCAGCAGGAGTAGTTTTCCCAAATTAACATCCATATTTACCCTCTGACTGACATGACATGACACCGCAGTGTGTGCTGAGATCAGGGCTCTGAGGTCACAGCTTCTATCGGCTCCACCTGGGGTTCAGTGGGGGGGGTGGAGATGTCCTCCCCCTGCTCTGAATCTGGTTCAGTCACAACTACAGCCACCTGCTGATACACATAAAATGAGAACACGGCTTGTAGAAGATATCAGCATTTTAAATTGTAATTTAAGGGAGTGGTAAATCAGCAAGACTAACTAATGAAGACACAGCTGAGGAAATAAGCTCACAGGGACTCAGTTAGTTAGGTACCTGAGATGGCTCAGCTGCAGCTGGAACAACCTGCACAGCTGGAACAGGTGGTGGGCGAGTCTGTGGATAGACAGGTCTGTGGCTGGGAGCCTGTGGGAGACACACACACACACACACACACACACACGTGTAACTTTTTGTAGTAGTTTCATCTCAGCCTTCTGCCAGACTACTGACAGTAACAGGACCAGCTTTTAATGTCTCAATTCAATTTGTACTTAAAATGCTAATACAACTAAGGTGGATAAAGTAAGCACAAAGACTCAAGTAGAGCTGGGAGCTGCCCAGTTCAACCAGATCTGATCGGGAAGCCCTTGGGCAATTCCACTGGAGCCACTGGGGGAGTTGCTCAGGGGCTCCTCAGCAGTGGTGAGTACCTATAGAAACACTTTATATTAAAGTACACATATCACCATTAACTAGTTGCTTATTAGCATGCATACTAGTAGCATACTGGCTCTTTATTAGTCATTATAAAGAACATATTAATGCCTTATTCTGCATGACTATATCTACTAGGTCATTAGTTTTCCCTGGAACGAATCGTGCGGCGGTGGATGTAGGTCGGGGGTTAGGGGTGTCGGCGTTGGGATCTGAGGCGCCGAAGTGCTTGGCTTCATGGGTCGGTCACTGTCGTGGTTCGTGTGTAACATGTGAGTAAGGAGGTGTCGCGGGTCTAGGACCTGCTTGCGTAAGATTTAAAAAGAGTGTGGCGGAGATACGTTGCTGTGATGACAGTGGGCCGGTGATAGCAAATAAGGGATGTGAGGAGGTAAGAGTGTAAGGTGATAGAGGAGGGTTGAGGAGAGTTGTTGTGTGCATGAGAGTGGATGAGTGCGTATGTATGCGTGGTGTCGGCAGAGTCGTGGCCCGGGGGGGGTAGGTCTGAAGGTGTTCCTGTAGGGGGCGAGGCATGAGCTTCCGCGCGTTCAATGACACAGCTAGCGGACGCAGAACTGGATGCTGTGTTCTTGTGTAACAAAACACAAACTACAAGTGTCAGTAGTGTCCAAAGAACTCTAAATGGCTGATTCCGATATTTAGAGAGCAGGGCAGCCGATAGCCGATATATAAGGCAGATATCAAAATAAAGAAGTCATGTATAATGCTATTATTCCACACACATTACAATCTAATATACATGGTTATCTTAGCCTACAATCCATTATTAACTAATGAAATTGAAATTGACTAATAAATAGCCAATAGCATGCTAATAAGCAACTAGTTAATGGTGAATATGTAAAATAAATTGTTACCCAAAAACCTAACTATTAAGTTATCATTGTATTTCAATGATATACCACTTAGTTTAACAGAGCAGGTGATTCACCACACCTTACCAACCACTCACCTCCCATCTCACCTAACCACATATGATTTATTACTACATGTATAATCTAGTTTACCACTTATTGAATGTACAATATGTAATGTAATTGCTTTACTCCTGCATTATATGGGTACTTTTTAAGTAGTCTGTAGACTTGGAGTTTTAAAATAGCTCACCTGGGTTCCACCAGCAGCAAGGACACTGAGTCCGAACAGCATGGCAGTGATACAGATCAACAGCTCCAGCACCAGGAAGATCACCAGTGTGCCCAGGATCCCGTCAATCAACAGCTAGACAGAGAAATCCAAGAGCACATACGGTGAGAAAACAGGACCAGTATGAAACAATGTGTTTCTTGCTGTGTTTCTCATTGGTGAAAGACATTTCTGTGTTCTACATGCACTCTACAAGAGATCTGACCACAGTATTAGTTGTAACAGTAGTCAATCACTTACTTTACACTTTTGCTCGATCAGCCCAGTGCATTTCCTGAAACAATGTTGCTGCAGTGGACAGTAGAAACAAAGAATCACGGAGTGTGCTTTTTCATAACATGTAGTGTCAACTAGTCATACATCAGTGATGGCTCTGTGTATGCTACATAGCTTGCCTCCTCTAATGCATGAAAACAAATCTCCATGTAAAAAGACTGATTCAATCACAGAAAGGATTATTAAATATGTTTGTTATATGCCCCTTCTTATATTCCACTCTATAAAGTAGGTTAAGAATTTAGCTCAGTTTTTCTAGAATTATAGGGGGAAAATGAAGGCTATATACAAAAGCGGTACCATTTGCTTCCTTACATACAGCTTATATGAGGGTTGCTAAGAATGTCCATCAACATGTATTAATGTATTATCCAATACATTGACAGGGACCACTGGGTAAGAAAGAGTAAAGGACTCTTAACTTGTTACAGACTCATGAACTGTTTTTTTCTCCTCAAATGCTTTGTGATTTACCAAAAGACTGAATAGCATTTCCAAGAAGACCAAAAAAACCCAAAACAGTCAGACTTATTCGTTTTAGACGTTTATGCTAACTTGGCCAGTTAGTAGCTACCCTTAGCTAACATGTTTGACAAAGACATATTGTGACTACCCCTAGTGGTTTTAAAGTTCACTATAACACTACAATTTCAGTTCTTAAAATGGTATAGCCACTTCTTTTGCTTTAATATCCAATATATAGGCTACCAACAAGTCCTTTAACTTCCTGTTTTAATTTTGAAACTCAACACAATTGACCCCTTCTGTTCCAATAACAGCTGATCAAACCTTGGTCAACTTTCTCCTTTACTGTACTTAGATATGCTATGTTCTAGGCTAAAATACCACAATTGGATGGTTAAAACATCAAACTGACATATATAATCACATCTTGTGTAAGTAACGATTGGTGTAAATTAGCTAGCTAGTTAGCTTGCTAATATTAGCCATTAGATATAACTTGCTAGCTAACAATTGATGTATATGAGCTAATGTATTGCTCCCCAGCAAAACTTTAGCTTCAACATAGCCGAGCCTAGCACATAGGACATATAAACATGGGAAAGGATAAAGTTGAAATAAAGGTTCTGATGCCTACTGAACTGTTATTGTACCACAGAGCAAAAAGGGGCGGGACTAAGTAATGGGTGCTATTGGACAACATATTAAAAAAATCAGGGAGTGCACCTTTAAAACCATAATAATTAGTCCAGTCGACACATTAAAGTACGCTTTTTAAAGTCAAAACATACTGGATCACTTAAAATTACATTAAGGAAAATTTAGAAACTATCACAGTTGCCAGTAAATATTTGTAGTGTGCTACATATAATGTGACCATAGCCACTCATATTTACTGTTGTAACTGTGGGAGAAAAATGTCATAGGTAGATTAAAACTGTGACAGTATAATGTGAGAGGGGACTGTATTTCTGTCCTGCAAACATTGTTTCAGTCTTGCACCAGGCAAGACTCATGTTCCAAAACAAACAATGTAGAAAGCAAATCCAAACAGACTGATAATTTTTATCCCCAAAATGGAATTTTCTGGCAGAAATGCTGTTTTGTTGTTTAGGCCAGCAATTTTTAACTATCCAAGTTCATCTTGAAGATGCCACAGAGCCAGAGGAACATTTTCACAGCAGAAAAGCAACAATACTAGCTGCTGATATGGCTATTCTGTTGTACCACGCACTGGTTTACGATCATGAGAAAATGTCTGTGTAGGTTTTAAAGACAATACCACGGCATGTAGCTCCAGTCTGCGGCAGTGTTCACAGTGGTAAGAGTCCTGGCGGTAGGGGAGGTGTTTGGACATCAGACCCAGGGCAGCGGTGGCAAACGCAGCACTGATGAGATGCAGCACCAGGACACATTTCACCTACAAAAGACAACAGCAGTGCTCATGTACAGGAAGAGCAGTGGTGGTATTTGACCAGACAAAAGTGGAGCTGATTGAAAAGAATTATCTGCTTGGGTTGCCACTCTACAGCCAGTATGTATGAAGTATGTATCTTTAGTTTAGGCCATTAGTATTTTGTTTAAGCCATTTTAGTTTTTAGTTAATTAAATCTCTGCGTGTAATAAAATAACATTACCATACAAAATAACAACTAGCCTCAAATATGATCTTTGTTATTGAGATTGTCATTAACAATAATTGAAGAAGAAAATAACCAAAGCTTTAGGTACTTAAAGCTGCAAGTAGTAAACTTTTATGAAAAATACTTACCACTGAAACTTTCACTATATCCTGACAGTAGTACATGAGACAGATGTTCAGGCCCGGTGGATACTTATAAATCCCATTAGGAGCACTAGGAGGAGCCAGAGGAACCTGATTGTTTCCCAGATTATCTGTCTCATGTACTACTGTCACGATATAGTGAAAGTTTCAGCTAATATGAAAAGTGTCACACACTTTACATTCTTTTATGTAATTTCTTAAAATATTCCTACAATAAATGATGGTGTTACTAAACAGTGAGTTTATGACATTTGTATTAGATGGCATCAGTATAACATTTTAGGGACTAGTCTGTGCATCCTGTCCAGAGTCTCTCCAGATAAAGAGGAAGAGTAGGCGGAATATTCATAACACACCTACATCAATGAACACACCGCTGCAGCATTATCAGCTGTTGCCGCCAGTTTACCACTGTGAAACTAGAGGCCATCGTGTTATAGCGTGTTGTAGGGGGGATTGCTCCTTTAGATTACTGAATGAATCTAGCTTGATGATAACACACAGCAACAGATAACACAGAGCAACAAAGAATTCTGGTTTGATTGAGACTCACCCAAAAGAGAGTAGGCTTCCTCCCACTGTGGACCAACACTGAACCAGACAAGGTCACCTGGAGGGTTACAATACAACTTACTTATATGTAGCATTTGGAGGAAATGTGAGGAATATATGAAGGCAGGAAGGTAAGTTATATGTGAATTCATGGGCCTCCAACTGACCTGTATGACAACTATCAGGAAGAGGGCCACGTCTCCTGTAAAGTGGACCTCGTGGATCTGGAGCACAGAGGCACTCAGACAAAGAATCAGAGCCCCAATAACGATCTGGATCGCCTGAGGAAGGGTGGGGGAGGGAGAATAATAAGAAACAAATCTGTTGACAGCTCTCAAAAAAGGAGGACATATTTACTATACTTACTACTGTATATTGAGGGTAAGAACACCTGGAACACATATAATTACAGTATGCTATGTCCCATAAAAGCCAGTGGTTTTTATTTGGGGGGGGGGGTTTCTTGGGAAATAAATTAAATTTTGCTCATTTAATGGTCTGCCTCCAAAGAACAAGTGAGAGCTGCTCCCGTTCAGCGGCACAGTACACACCAACTGAAAAACAAGTGAATTAAGGGTTTATTTTAGGGCTGCAACTAACGATTATTTTCATTATCGATTATTCCTCCGACCATTTTCTTAATTAATCGATTAGTTGCCCAAGGTAGCGTACTCAAATGTCTTGTTTTGTCCACAACCCAAAGATATTCAGTTTACTGTCATACAGGACTAAAAGTAGCCAGTGGGAAATTTTAACACATCGCCCAACCCTAATACAAAGTCAGTTCCTACTTTGTCGCATGTAGAATGTGACTGTGAATCGCTGATAGACAGGTATGAAGCTTACCCCCAGAGTCTTGGGCTCCATCTTGAAGAGAGACTGCAGCTGACCCGGGGAGAGGTTCCCCACTGCAGGTACCAGGTCTTTGTCATTCAGAGACATTCTGCTGCTGATGAAACGACAGGAGAGTGTGTAGAAGAGGATGCAGTCAAAAAGAAAGAGTGGCCAGAGACTGGACAGGATGGTTAAAAGGTTAAGTTCTACTGATCAACAGTTGGTGTCGCTGACATGCCAATAGATATAGAAATCTGCTGGCACAAAGCAGAGAAGAAGAACACTGCTAGCTAGAGAGGTGTAGACATTGCAAAAAATTGTCTTTGCAAGAAAATTGTGATGAAAGAAACACATTCAGCACTTTGTTAGGCCTAAATGATACACAAAAGCCTGGTAACGCTGGGGGAGGGTGTGCAAGGATTTAGGATTTAGGATGTAGGATTTAGTGGCATCTAGTGGTGTAGTAGCAGATCCCCCTCCTAGTGCACCGTGGCTGAATAAAAACAACCAATCAGAGCAATCAGAATTTTGAGTCTCATTCCCAGGACGTCAAATACAGACACTTTGGGACCCTGGGAATGAAACTCAACAAACCACTTTCTTCAAGGTTCAAACCCAAATCTTTCTCAGCTCTGATTGCTTGTTTTTGTCCAGGCCC